GCTGACGTTTTGCAATTGTGTTTTTCAACGAAGTGTCAGGTAGGACAATCCATCGAAAATATTGAAAATTACAGAAAATTAAATCACCTTAAGTATCTTGCTCATTCTTGATGATAAATGAAAATGTTAAGTGTAAATATTTCATATTTTGTTAAAGTTCGTACGAGATTTCGTTTTCGAAAGAGACCATCGTGAAAGTTTTTGGAGCACGCGTACATTAGATTGCAAATCAACCAACGAGCCTGCCTTTTACTTACTTTTACCTGCGTCAGTGTTCGTAAACATTGATGGCAGTATGATGCAACATATTTTCTGTTGATCTTAAGATCTTCTAACTATTAGTTTACGTCAAGTTCTAGCAGATGACGAGATATAGGAACAGGAAGTATACTGATACTTGCATTATGAACTTTTGTGAACGTGCATCTATCTGCTGCAACTATTGGACGGCGATTAATTTTGCAGTATGATTGATTACATTTTACGAGAGAAATTTGAAATTTCATGGCGGTACAGTATCTTGGTCTCCAAGATCACGCGATCTTGATCATCGCACAAACTGGTGGTTAGAAAGTTTCGAGACGAATGTAAGATATTGCTGACATAAGTCTTAGATCAATGGAGAGAGATATACTGCAATCAATGTTTTCAAACATCAAGACAAATAGAACCAAATAGAGAAGAGACACGTTAATATTTAAATAAATGTTAATAGACTTAGGAATCTAGAAAAAAAATTAAATCAAAATTCGTATCTTGAATCTATGGAAATACAAACAAAGCTCACGGGTTGCAAAAGTTCGTTGATTAGAGATATACCTCTATTAATGTTTCATAAAAATAAACGTAAGAGTATCGATTCTCTTGATATCTTTAATATGATCTTCAAATATTTATTCTTGATATAATTTATTTTACTCAACTTGTGATCTTTTACTATCGAGACTGCAGAAAAATTTGCAAATTTAAGGTCCACGGTAAATACAAATATTTTCAATTTTAAGATCATTGTATTCTCCTAAATCAAATTAATATAAATGTGCAGTTTTAGCAGAAAACGAATGTTACATCCAATCTTATCGCTCCGTGCGTCTCCTACGAGATATTTTTACTATTCCGGCCTCGTGCGCTATGTTGATGGGCTGATAACTCTCGGCGGAACAAATAAAAATCATTATATCATCAAAGATACAATGTTTGCTAATGTCGTTTCCTTGATTCCCCAGTCTCAGGACACGTGGCGTTTCTAGAATAACTGGACAATCTTTAGAAATGTATTCTACGCTTTGCAACGACACAGAAAAAGCACGAAATTTGTACTCGTTCTTCGGAAAATGATCCACCGTCGAAAGTACCCGCAGAAATGAAATAAAAATTTTTCTTGGCTCTCGTGGATCTCGATAGATTCAAATTTATAAACGATCTAAAGTTTGTGTGAATAAAATTGACCCTTCCTTTACCGCGACTCCCACGCTCCACCCTTGAACAGTCGAATGCACTCTCGACTGCCAATTAACTATTGACGGTCGACAAATTCTTCGGAATATTCGAATGCCCATCGTTCGAACGAAGGCAAATACGCGTTCGCGGGGCGCGAATGAATCGTCGACGGGGGAATGGGGGAAGTGGCCGTCGAATCGGCGGTGGAATTAATTAAAGGTGAAAAGAAGGAGGCGCGTGCTTAGAGTCGGGGGTGGTTTACGGTCGTGGAATTTCGTGGACCAGAGGCTCGCATCGGGAGTCGAAGCGTGTCGAGAACCACGGCGTGACCCACTTGCTTAAACGCAGGCGAAATAATATTCCGCTTGGAAGGGAGTCAGCCGTTTCCATACGTACAGTCGGCTGCAATAATGCCCGTCCGCAGACTCCATTTTCCTAGCCCTCTCCCCTGGTCGTGCTTTTCTGAAACGAGGCTGCTGCAGCTGCGATCGATCAGCTGGAGACGAGCCTCTCCGTAACGACCTTAGTAAACCTACGATGGATAGACAAGACCCGAACACTCGTCCTGCGCCATTGTGCCGGATTATAACTTACAAGTTTAGACAAAATTCCCATTAACCCCTTCACATCTCTTCCCGCGACGCACACATCTCTTCAACATATACTTGAAGTTACAGAACTATACAGAAAATAATTTTATCGATGAAATCATAGGCACCCATATCCTAATTAAAAGAAAAAATTTATCTCCATAAATCTAGTGTTAATAGAAAATAATTCAAATATGGATTCATTTTAGCAGATTCCTTCCTTATCGATGGATTCCATAAAAGTGCTATCTTCCTTGGGGCATTTTGATCTTATTGCATTGCACCCTCTTCAGATATTAACCTAATCACTGTATCCCAGCCCAAGAAGGTTTTAACGATCATATAAAAATTTATCAGTCGGTAAATAAATCACTCGAAACGATTAATATTGGGATAATGAATTTTTGTAATCGATAGGGGTTGCTCGAACTCGAGGCTGTTTATTGTACGTGTGATTCGAATTCGAGGAGGTTGTTTCGCGATTGGGACAAGCATAAAGGGACAGAAGCGGCACTTTTTTAATGCCCCGCGAATACGGGACACGAGGCTTTGATGATTATTGTTGGCCGAATAATGGAGGGTTGCGGCGGCGACGAGGGGTGGAAACGCTTTCGAGAGTCGCAGCCACTTTGTTAATCATTGCAGACTATTAAATGCTGCTTGCTCGTCACGGGCTTTGTTTCGCCGAGTAACGAAATACTTTTTCCAGAGTGGTTTGCGTAACGATAATCTGGTGAAAGTATCGGTAGTTTATGCAGCAACAAACATTGTACACGTTCCTTTGTGCACGAACTCAAAAGTTCTTCTACTTTTGTAATTCTAACAGATCAAGTACTAAGTAACAAGGAAATAATGCGTAGATGCACACAAATAATTATAATTACTGTGCTATTGTACGGAGACTTAGTTTTATTTTGTCTAATAAAGAACATTAGTAATTAATATTTCATATATGATAAATAATTAAATACAGGATATTTAACTGAACCAATGCAGAAGTCCGTTATACCGAGAGCATGTGAAATAATAATCTTGGCACAATAGGCTATATAAAAAACACAGCGCGATACTTGACAATAGCCCGTATCACAACAGCAAAGCCGTAGTGGCTCGGAGCCAGTGGGAACAAGAAAGGAAGAGAAAAAGAAAAATGAGTATCGGTATCCAATATCTTTTCCGAACACTTATTTTACATTTTAACATTCGTATCTTTTACATTATTCTTGTTAGATTCGTGCGTATCTTTCTTCCCAAAAAAGTAACCATTGTGCACCAAAGTGACCACGTCGAGAAATGAGAATTACAATGTTTGTAAAATTGTAAAATCGTAAAAACGAATATTTGGGCGGCGTCCTTTCGAGCTTTCGATCATGTTAATGCAATATACAACGCATTTTGGCATAGCAACGCTCGCTTTTTGCCATTTCTATTTTTACATTGACTGGTCTAATTTGTAGTTTTTTGCTAATTTTACACTCCGTCAGGGATGGTTATTGTCCCGGTAGCTCGTTGTGCATTTTCGAAAATCCAAGCTCGCTACTTTTTCACCTTAAACGTTAGCAAATAAATATTTTCGAATATCTATATCACGGACTATCGATCCCCTTTTAATAGCGTTAGTTATATAACTATCTTTGCAAATAAACTGATAATCTAAATGTGCCAGCATAATTCGCAACTATTGCATCACTTCATATTTGTGGTGTTGTTACAAGTATTTTAGAAATTGCGTTATACAACCAATAAGGTATACAGTTTATTATCGTCGCTTAGATTTTTCATTATTTTCTTTCCATTTGGCGTTCGGCCATTTGGCAACGAATACTTTCATTTTTAATAAAAGGATACGAAAAAAATAAGAAAGATATCTGAATTATTTTCCCTGTCGAGTTACGGATACACCCAGCTCTGACGCGATAAAGAAACTTTATTGCATATTTGCATTGGGCAATATCGGAATCTATAAAATACACCTGCCATTGCTAGTGGCGTGTAATCAATCGAGTAATCGCTCGGATAATGGACGTTTCGATGTAATAGGTTGCTCAGGACGAGCAAGAAACGAAATCAAACGCAAATGATCGCGGAACGTGAGTGTCGAACGTTTCAACAAAGAGTGAAATTCTTCCACGAAACGCCGCGAGGCCATTAATGACTCCATTTTACGATCATCGTCCATCCGGTTACATCGGCGGTCTGTAGACGGTCTGCGGTATCTCATCGACGTGGAATTTACATTTTCCCCGAAGAGCCGCGCACCCACACGTTTTCCGGGGTAATTCCATCCCTGTGTATCGCGCGCGTAACACGTTTTGTTTCGTGCCCGCGTCGTGTGACTCACGCGGGACATTTTGAAACACGGTCACGTTTTGGCAAAAACAATGCACCTTATTACCAAGTGCAAGCGATCCCGGGGATTCGTCACATCCGTCTGCACGTTCCCAGAATGCGATTTTCAGGATTCCCAATTCAAGCCAGGGTTGTTCAACTATTTCGGTACGGGCGCCTTTGCGAGGAAATTGAATTTCTATCCTGGATCAGCCGATCCCTAGATCTTGATTTAATTTACAATCTATCTCGAATAAGCTTCTAAATATGATCTCTCGTCGAGTGGGCATGCCATGAATAGTAATACAACCAGAATATTGTTCTTATTTCGTAGAATATTGTAGCTTGGAACGAAAGAAAGGTCTAAAAATGTGACTCAAGATTACAATTGACATCCTTAAAATACAAATTTTAAATACTGACGTTATTTTATAATCTTAACATCTGTTACTAAATGTACTTAATATAATATAGTTTCAAAAAGTATAATATTTCGAAAATCTCAACTTAACCTCGCTTTCGTGAGAAGAGATTCGCGAGCCACCGTGTGAGAAAGTAAAATAAAAATTTGAAACGTAACTAGGTGGCGGGATGGAGGGTGATTAAGGTCAGCTGATTAACAGGAGGGTGGCTTTTTTGCAGGCACTTATCAAGGTCAATGGTACCATGGAATGAGGCACGGGTACGGCGTGAGAGCCAGCGCGCCGTTCGGTTTGGCGAGTCACTACAAACCGTCGAAGCAAGTCAGGGCTTCGTTGACGTCCCTGAGGAGCGCGGATGGAGGTGGACCGACAGCACCGACCCCGGAACCGACCGACAGAAGGGATCGCCGGGTCGACGACAGCAGGGGCGGTTTCGTGTTGAAGGCCAGGAGCGACGATCCCCCGGCGCGGAGGAAGAGCCTCACGGAGAAGTCGTTGAAGAAGGGTATACTCTCGGTAAATCGTAATTTCAATTCTACCGACAACCGTCCTTTCGACGTGCCCGCGCTTTGATTCGTATTCTCCACCTAAAAGTGAATCCCTCACGGAGAACTTCTAAGCGCGTCAGACGTTTGAAGGATGAAAACAATTCCAGGGCCTGAAAATCCGAAAACAAAGGAGCACGGGCGACCTGGAAAAGCGCGGCACCGGGGGCAGTATTAGAAGCAACGCCAGCTCCACGTCGTGGATGTCGACGGAGAGCTCGCAGAGTCAAGCCTCGGCGTCCGTTCACACTGACAGCAACGCGTCCTTTGTCATCGAGGTGAGTTTCTTCAAAGCAAACCTTTCGTGCTTCTGTACTACGCGCCCGCGAGAAGTTGGCTAGCGGAGCGGCACAGGGGACAGGGGAGTACCTCGTTTGCTCCGCCCATCCCCACTCTCATCCTACGACGGATCGTGGTAGGCTCGCCAAACGCTAGAGTGGGGGATCCAGGGGCTAATCAGACCCGCGTTCCTTTCACTTTCCAACTTCTCGCGGGCGCACAGTACAGAGTGTGTCTCTCAATGGGGGTTCCTAGATCGTCAATAGTGGGGAATGTACTGTCCAGGCTGCCAACCTACCAGCGGTGAAAAGTACTATTGAAAGACGAGATGATGGCACACTGCTTACAAACTAAACGATGCAAAGGGAATCGTCCTCGCAATCTTAAGTTCTTCTTCTCAACTGAAAACCTAAACAGTGGAGTCGTTTAGCTTGCAGATAGCGTACCATCGTCTCATCTCTTAATAGTACTTCTATGAAAGTTGAAACGATGATAAAGACAGAATGGTTGTTCGTAGGACGAGCAAATGGACGCCTCGGTAACAGAGACCTACCTGGGCGAGTGGAAGAACGACAAGAGGACAGGGTTCGGTATGTCGGAGCGGAGCGACGGTCTCCGGTACTCGGGCGAGTGGTTCAACAATCGGAAGTACGGCTACGGCGTGACGACGTTTCGCGACGGTACCAAGGAGGAGGGCAAGTACAAGAACAACGTCCTGATCACCAGCCAGAAGAAGAAGCACCTGTTCCTTATCAGATCGGCCAAGTTCCGCGAGAGGATAGAGGCTGCGGTAAACGCGGCGAAAAGAGCGAGCCAGATCGCGCTACAGAAGGCGGATATCGCAATCTCGAGGACGGCGACCGCGCGCGGCAGAGCCGAGCTGGCGGACATCGCCGCGGAGCACGCGAGAGAGGACTCAGAGCTGGCCCAACAGACGGCGAAGCAATTTGCACCGGACTTCCGACAGCCTGGTTTGGAGAGGCTACGGAACAGGGAGATACCAAAGTACGTGCCACCGCCCCAGGACACGGCGCCGGGGAAGAGTATCCTGCACAAGGCGAGCAACCAGGATCAGAAGGGCGCCACGTCCCAGGGTGAACCAACCTCGACGACCAACGCGTCGGCTACGTCGACCGCGAGCAACGTGATGCAGTCGATCAGGAGAGCCAGCATGAAGCCGCAGAATCAGATGATGCAGAATCAGCTGCCGCAGAACCAGATGCCTCAGAACCCGTTACCGCAGAACCAGCTCACCCAAGATCAGATACCGACTCAGGTGACTCCCGCTCAACTCGTGAACCAGCTGCCGATGAGTCAGTTGAATCAGACTACCCTGAGCGAACAGATTCCTTATCAAACGCAGTACTCCCAGCCGATGGCTCAAAATCCTATTCAACAGGGCCAGTATCTTAACAGTATACCGAATCAGTATCAGCAAATGGGACAGTTTCAGTACGCTACGCAAAATCAGTTCCCTGTTCAGGGTAGTCCGTATGGTCAGGCGCAGTACCAGCCTATGAGTCCACCTCAGGCCGATCAGTATTCGTATCAGCAGCAGCCGGTTAGCTCTCAGGTCTACCAGAATATGCAGGCTTATCCGAATCAGCAGGTGATAAATTTTAATTGGATTGCTTGCGTGTCCCCTTTATCTTGACGATAACGTCTCCCCGACTATGATCACTCAACGACGTTCACCTACTGACCCAGTGTTGTTTTAGCCAGATACCTAACATTACGGTGCACGTGTCCCCAAACGAAGGCTAATGTCTCCTAACGATGCGTTCAGCAGTTAACTAAGGAACTGCTTCGTAACTTGTATGCGATACCGTTTGCACGTCTCGTCCCAACCAAACAGTCGAATTTTGACCCGTTATTGCAGACGATGCCGAACCAGTATGGTCCAGGACAGATGAACCAGTACGGTTCGCAGCAACTTTACGGCCAGCAGCAACAGCCGCCACCGCCCCAACAGCAAACGCAAGTTCCACAACAGTACCAACCCGATGGGGACCCGCAACGACCGCCAAGTTCAACCAGTATACGAAGGAACAGCAGGATCTTGACCCCTCAGGATCGACCCGGCACCATTGGGCAAACGCTAAACGACAGGTCTTGAACTTATCAATCATAGTAGAACCTAAAGTTTCAATACCATTTAGGTCCCTGAAAGTTGAACATTAATCGATTTCAAACGGCTGGTTCTTAACCGGAGCGATTCCCATTTACCGTTTTACAGATTAGATCATTACAAGAGGCCGCCCAGCCGCGATAGTTCCGTAGACCGTTACGCTAGAGCGCATTCCCGGTTGACTGGGTCGAGACAGCCGTCCGTCGATAAAACCATCACGAATCCGCCCCAAGAAATGCTCGACAGGTGATTAAAGTATTCCTCAACTTAAGGATTTCGACTGAAAACGATCTTGGAATCTCATTTCTTAGATAGAATCTTTGAGAGGTACCAAAGTTGACGCGTTCGAGGTACCCTGGCCAACACGTAGGTCAAGATAGTTATAGTTTAATAGTCCTTGACCCGTGTACGAGTCAGGCCAGTTCGAATTTGGGGGTCTAGTCGCTTGGAGGGGCACGTCAATAAGAAGCATTATTGTCTAACTCTCGTATAGGGCTCTTCTTTTACTAATCAATTTAAATCTCAGCTACCTTCTACTTAGATTCTTTGAACTGAATATACTATACAGTTGAGCTCTATTTACTGGAACACAAGATTAAATCTTATCGAAATATTATACGTCCTATTAATGGAACAAACCTAGCTAACTTTACCCGCCACCCTAATCCAAACGACAGTTAGGTCTATCCTACGTATCCCACGCGTATAGGATTAACAAATGGGAACTTTTGACCAACAACGATGGTGATTGAAGGATTTTTGAACACTGATGTTGAAACACAGATCAACGAGAGCACCGAGCGCGATTCGATCAGGCACTCCGTTGAACGGATCCGTGGTGGGAAGCGGCACCGCGACGCCGACGTACGCCGCCTCGACTTCCAGCCAATTCGAGGGAGCACTGCTGAAGAATCGCGGCCTTGGACAGGATATTCTACCGAGCCAAGGACAGCCTAAGCGTACGGAGAGCCTCTACGTCACTCCCGGACGCGGTCCGACCGCATCCGGTGGCGGAGGCGGCGGCGGGGGCGTCGTGCCGAAGGTGAGTGTTCCTCTTTTCGCAATTTCTATCCACGATATAGGTATTACATTTTATATTCCTTTCTCTCTATTCGTCACGCGACACCGTCGTCCTGGCACTTGCGTCACGAGCCTCGAAAAAGGAGTCGCGACCGATTTGGATCTCTCGCCACCTCGATAAACATTTTTATTTTCGTCATAAAATCCACGGTTGCGTCACGTTTCAGCAGACGCTTGCCCTTGGGGTGAAAAATTGTATTTTTAACCTAAATTAGAAGGCAAGTTTAAAAAATTGCATATTTTACGACCCTTCTGTAGCTTTTAATTTTAAAAAATTGCATTCTTAAACATAAAAATGCTTAGGATGACTATTATTTTTGGTCTCTGCAAATTTTCACGCGTCTCCGGATACGATACGTTGATCGAACGCTTTGCAAGCATATCCTTCGAAAGCGTCACGTGATCGAGCGACGCAAAGGATCCAACGAGGGTAGCGACTCCTTTTACGCCCGGTTTTCCCTTTAGTGCATCATTTAGGCGTTTGTCACGAGTCTACTCACCAAAGTTACCCGTCAAAAGTGTTTCTCCGGGGGAAACTGTCGGAGGAACCTCCTCCCCCGCGATCGTGTCGCGAGCGCGCAAGGAATCCGGGTGATCGGTTCGTTCGGAATTCCCGTCGGACGCGTGTCTTTTCGACGAAACGTCGACGAGACGGTTTTCCGCGGAGTGTCGTACAAAAATACCCCCGCGGACGTTAAACAAGATAACAATCGTTCGCTGTTACTCGTTCATTCACGCATCCCGCGAGAACTCGGTTTACGAATTTATAGCCGCCCATCTCGCGGCGAGAAAGAGAGTGAGTTTTCTCACGAAAGGAAATACCATCGGGGCGACGTAATCGTTTAGCGAACCTCCCAAAACAAGAACGAGAGTAGAATCTCACCGATCACGTAGACCACGCTTTTACGATAGTCCCCCGTACGGTTTCGTAGATCTTTCGTACTCGAACTTTCGATCCCCGACTAGCTATGCCTGCTCGTTAGTCGCATCGTACGATTTTCTTTGCGCATTCCTCAGAGTTGGGCACGACTTTTACTTTATTCGTTATTCGAAGTTTCGAGGATCGAATAAAGTCAGTTAAACTCGATCTTTGGATAAAGAACTCTTTTTCAAGGAACTCTGAGTGCCCAACTCTGTTTTTAGAGATAGTCGACGATCGTGCCTTCCGCCTTTCGATACCAACGGTTGCGCGTAGTGACTAGCGACCATAATTAGGTATGCATTCCCTGATTCTGTTTCTCCCGGACTTTCTCCGGCAGTCGGGCCAAAGACCGCAATTTCTCGTCGAAGGTTTCGAAGGATCGAGCACGCATTTCACAGGAACAAAAGGACAACATACTCCGACCGGCTTCACGTTTAACGTCCCCGTTCGCGCCTAAACTGTCTTCCCCGTTACTAATCACTGACAGGCCACCCTCTCCTCGCCAACGATCCGCCCAAGATCCCCCCAAAGTTTTCTCTATCTGTATTTTTTTTCTTCTCTGTCGATTTGTCTGTCTGTGTAACTGTGTGGCATTTTGTGCTGTGTTCTGTGCATGCCATCCCAGGACGCAGGCCGGACGGTCCCCGCCTTCGCCGCAACGCCAAAGGGCCGCGCAACCCTATGAGTATAAGTATTATAATAATATGTACACACTGCGATAGCGAGAGCAACGAGCGTCGAGACGCGGTTCGTGACTGGACCCTGGATGTCCCAGCGACGACAAAAAGGGGCTCGAAATGGGGGTGGACACGATAATATCGGGGGGAAATGCTAAAGGACTATCGAACGAAGTTAATTTTAGGGACTACGATCGAGATATCGCTGAATCGTACACGCTCACGTTCGTATTTATCGGTGACATCTACTATAAACGAGTAAAAATAGAGAAATACAGAAATAACACTTTCAGAGATAACAAATCTTAATATTTTGGTCTGGCACCAAAGTTCAGTTTTTCCAACTAGAAAAGTTATAATTATCGTTATCGAAGCGTACCGAAAACAGTCGATACTCGTTGTGTTTTCGTAAGGTTGTTCCACCTTTTGGTCTATCAAATATTCGCTTGATTTTCTACTGAATTTTAAAAATTCGCGCGCCGCCTAAATATATACGCAAACGTGTATTATTCCGTGCAACTGTATGTATAACGTTACACGCGTGGGTAATAGAATTTCGAAGCTTGTTGACGGTAAAATCCAGACCCAACGTGTGCCACAAAGGTAAACTTGTAACGTTCCAGAAGCAACGTTGAAAGGTGTATTTTGCAATCGCCCGGCGAATCCAGGGTCTGCTCGCGATAAAAACCGCGTACTTCGGGCAGTCTCTCGAGCTTCAACGAACCATTAACCAAGCCGATTAGACGTTCATTCCTGTATACATTCCCAAAACCCCCGGAAATCAAATTTTACACAACGCCTCGTTGTCGAACGATGATGTTTAGCTAAACGGCGAAGTCCAGACCAAACCGAGGCCGGGCGTTTCTGCAAAGATTACGTTCGCGCCCGCAGCGAAGACTCCGATCGATCAAACACCCTGAATGTTTGAACGGAGCCCGGACTCCTTGCGTTGTATACAAGGTGTTTCCTTCAAAACGAGCATCTAGAACATCTATGTTTATTTTGGAGATAAGGGGGAAGGTCGACGGGGAAGATTGTCCGTTTTGTAAACTCTGACCGATAAGCAACACGTTTTCTTCGGACTTTCAGATGAGGTCGTAATTTCTTTTTAAATCGTACAATGGATCATCAAAAGGTTTTTAAATGATCGACGATCAAATGGGAGAGGATTTGCCTATTTTGATTTAAAAAATCGAACATTTGATTCATCGTTTCCCTCGGTTTTGTCTTGTGACTTTTTTTCGCGTTTAAAAGAAAAAATATTTCAGATGCTCGCGTTGAAGGGAACATCCTGTGTAGGGTCACGGTTTGGTAGACGGACATCTCACAGTTTACGCGAGCATCCACGGGCGACTCGCGAACGGGAACAGAGACCGGAACCATTGTTTGGTGTGCGTCGAAGGAGAAAATATTTTCAGATCGACACTTTAGTCTCGACGAAGCGGTGCGTGCCAGACGAGCAAATTTTTTATTGCGTTACTGGTTAAACGAGAACTTGAACTATAGCATAAAATTCCACGGTAAACGAATAACAATTTATCGGAACGACAATAATAGATCGTCGTCTATCGTTTGAAGAAAATTTTGCTCGTCTCTGTTCCGGGGCAAAGCTACCAGAACGTTCCAAAGCGCGAACCGTGACAAAAGGAAAGAAATTCGACGAACGTCTAAAGCTATTCTGCAAGTATCGAAACTATCGTTGAAATTTTGGTTCGTGGAGTCAATATTAAGTTGCAACTAACGTTACCTGTGATCGTAGCTATCGAAATTACATTTCGAGCTTTGGGGCCATTTTTAAGGGCATTGCCATCTAGCGTGTGGGCAACATCCTTTCAAATTTAAAAAGAATCATGTTTTATTTTAGTTGAAACGTTTGTTCGCTGGAGATGAAATAATTCCAGTTTGTACAGGTGTTTTTGACCAAGAAATTTTACTCAAAAATCGTAAAGAATCTTACAGGTCCGTACACTTGACTCGAATGAATCTTGTCACTCGAGGAGAAATAGCACGCTTCACACTTCTCCTTTCCGAGCAAAATTCTCGTTCTCGCACAGCTGATGCACTTGATAATGTATGTGGCTGCGCATTATGGTTGCGCAGTATTACTATGTCATCGACCGCGCGATAGACCGGTTCGAACCTTTCGCTACGCCTAACCTAAACACGTCGAATCGCCACGAACAAAGAGCAACTGTCCATCGACAGATATTTAGTTTCAAATGGGTTATCAACCAAAATTTATTAAACATAAAACTTGTACTCTTTCGTACAATTATCGGTACGTTTAAAGTTTGAGCAAACATACAGAAAATGGCAGCATATTTACCACGATTTCCATATTGAAAACGACAGTTATGGTTATGGTTATCCCAGACCCTTGCAATCCCTTTCTCAACATGCCCTCTCGACAGCAGAACCTATCCATTAAATGCATCCGAATGAGCTCAAAGGGGGAGGTGGGCACCAAATAGAATTCTTAACGAATATAAAACTCCAACCCGTAAAAGGGGTTGAAAAGATTTGAGAAACGTTTATGGCTAAGTTTGCGATATTGCTATGCATGAGAACGAGAAACGCAAAGGCATAATCCCCTCGGGGCGGAAAGATTCATTAGACCCAGGTATACGATCGTTCGAATATCGACCATCGAAAGAACCAGTCGTAAACAGCAGCTTGACTCACCGTTTGGTTCCCTCTTCTCGAACGCCTCGCGCGAGCGGAATGTTGTAAACTCTGTGTCGTTCGGGGGCACCGTGAATCATCGATGATCTTTGTCACGAGTTCGATGCATTCGTCAGTTGACCGTTGCATTGGTGAGAGGTGTTCGAAAGGTTCTGTTTACCTTGCTCCTTTCACAGTCCGTATCGCTAATCGTTGCCGCGTTTTGGACGTTCTCTGTAGCCTTGCCCGGAGACCGCGAGGTCTCGAATTTCTCAAGGCGCGCACCAGCGAAGCAGAACTTGTACCTGGTCGTAGATTGTTACTAGCTATTACCTAGATAATTCGCGTTGATGATCGACGGACAGTTAACCCTTTCGGCCCTGAACTCGATGACAGAAGACACCCTTCGATCGAAAGTAAACCTTGGATGAGTCAAAAGTACGGAAAAAGATGTCCATCGAGGCTGAAAGGGTTAAATCGAATTTGGGCATTGAACGAAGCGAGCGACGTTCTTTCCGCCTTCTTGTCGGAGACAGACGAAATTATTTTTTTATGGGAAAGCACAATAGACGTAGAAGAGCGGTGAACGGAGATTCGTGGGAATCCTCGCGATCCGCGTACGGTTTTTCGGTATTGCGATTCGCTCGTACGAAACGAACGGGTTTTGGTAAAAGCAAATGATTGGAACGAGTTGCAAAAACA